TTTAATAATGATATAGGCCCATAGTTCTTTATCTGCATCAAGTCTGAGTCTTCTTTTGGAATTAAGGTAATATTAGTATCTATCCAGGTGTTGGGTGAAGTCAGTTTTATATTCTGAGGTTACAGTTAAGTTGTTTGCATTATCCGGTATTTGTAAAGTTGACACAGTAAGTTGATCATTTTCTACATTTTCTACACCTAGTTATGTTTTATTTTAATGTCACCTGTCCTATAGGATTAATATATTTTGGTTGATTCACAAAAAGATGAATCTTCTCCAAGGACTGATCAAGAATCTATTTTATAACTGACACCAGTTTAGTGGTTCCCTCTAGTGTTCAGAGACTATTTATTCATTCATTTAATTATTTTTTCGTTTCTCATCCAATCTGAACCCTTAAATATCAGCAGATTTCAACCACCCACAATAAAACAGTACAGAGCAACTAATTATTTTAAAAGTAAAATAAAAGTAAAAAAGTAAAAAAATATGATTGCTCTGGGATGCGGTGGAGGATCAGGATTTTGCATTATGATTGCTTTGGGATGGGGGTGAAGATTTTGCATTATGATTGCTCTGGGATGGGGTGGGAGTTAGGATTTTGCACCCACCATTCCAACCCCAGAGCAACCACAACTCCTTCATTAACCTGCTTTCCAGCTCTGTTCTCAGCTGCCACGTGCAGAGCAACAAAAGAAGTTTGTGGGACTTAAAAAAAAATTCAAACCTTCCAACTTCTCAGGGAAAAAAAATATCTTGTGAAATTGGAAGGTCTGATTGAACTTTTTTACCACTTGTCCCACAGCCTTCTTTTGTTGCCCTGTATGCGGCGGTGGAGAATGGAGCTAGAAAGCAGGTTAGTGAAAGGATGCTTTGGGGAAGGGAGGGGAGCTGGGCAGAAGCTGGAAAGCAGGTGGCAAGTGAACCCCCCCCCCAAGAGCTCCAGGGAAACGGTGGTGGAACATGAGTAGTGGCAGGTGGCGCATTGCTGGCCAGTGCCACTGGGTTACATGAGGAAGGGGCTGCTCTGACTGCCGTTTCCTCACTCTGGCTCCGCAGGCCAGGCTGCCAAGGATACTGTTGGGACTTCATCATCCTCCCATCGCCTCAGTTAGTGGCCACAGCATCGGTGCATCACTCAGCCTCCTGCTTCCTTGTGGCGGCGAGAAGGGAGAAGAAGCTTTGTACTCCCCCCCCCACCTCACTTTGTCCGTTGCGACCGTGGAAAAAAAAATAAGACCTCCCCAAAAATAAGCCCTTGTGCTTATTTTGGTGACCTAAAAAATTATAAGACTGGGTCTTATTTTCAGGGAAACATGGTAGTAGTTTAAAATGACAGGTTTTATCCTTATATTTCAAAACAAGAATATTCCATACTTCCTTATTTTGCTTGCCTCTAGCCATCCTCTCCCTGTTTTATAATAAAGAAAAAATGTCAAAAATAGCGTTCAAAATTTCAAAAATGGGTGGTAAGCTGTAACTAAAGAGAGCATCTATAGCTTGTAAACGTAATAGTCTTATAAATTGTTTAAGAAATGAAGGACACAGCTTATTGTCCGTTTGACAAATAAATGCCAAAATGGCTCTTTTGTCCAATAACGATGTGGTTTCGACCCTGCCTCTCAGCTTCAGCTCACCAGTTATCTTGGAAGCTCGGCTTCTAAAACTACTTGCAGGTTGTTTCCGTTATTGGAGTATCTTGAAGGATGATTCCGGCACTTTCCTTAACCTCAGAAAGTCAAGCAGACAAAAGGAAGCCTGCTTCTCCTGTTGTTAAGTTGGAAAAACGACAGTCCAGGGAGAGGAGATTCTCTGGGGGTGCCAGCTGCTGACCATGTCCTTCCCTCTTTTCCCCTTTTTCCCTTCTTACTTTTCCATGGTTTTGTTTTCTTTGTATACTTTGATAAACTAACGAAAAAGTTAAATTGAAATGGTTATGAGTGTGAGCAAGGCTGACCCTTTAAAGCAGGGGTCCCCAACCACCGGTCCGTGGACCGGTACCGGTCCGCGGAACAACTCCTACCGGGCCGCTGGCTTGCTGGGCGCCGCCATCTTTTTTTGATGAAAAGTGCTTCCGGTGAACTTTTCCGGGTAGAAAGCTCACCGGAAGCACGTTTTCATCAAAAAAAGATGGCGGCGCCAGCGCTTCTGGTGAGCTTTTCCGGGTAGAAAGCTCACCGGAAGCACTTTTTCATCAAAAAAAGATGGCGGCGCCCAGCTGATGCCGGTACCGGGCCGCGGTGCCCAGCTGATGCCAGTACCGGGCTGCGGCGTAAAAAAGGTTGGGGATCACTGCTTTAAAGAATCGCAAGGACTATTTGATTTGTACTGTGTTCCCAGGCAGATTTAAAGCTTCCCCAGAGGACTCTTCAATCATCACTCTGCTTGCTTGAGGAGGGTATCCTGGCTCGTGTGCGCCGTCCTGCCGATGAAAAACCAGCCAGGGGGCTTTGTGAGGTCATCTTTGGGGAAGCCACAGCACATACTCCTTCAGCCCCGGCTTGCTGAGTGGGGGGGAACAACCCTAATGCCTCAACTCCGCCCCACATACTGACCCAGCTCAGCAGCTTTCAAAGGCGTTTTCGGGGAGAAAGGAAGAAAGAAAAGAAAGAGAGGGAGAGGAAAAAGAAAAAACAGAAATGGGAGGGAAGGAGAGAAATGAGAGAGAGAAAAGGAGGAAGGGAAAGAGACCCATTTCCCACAGAAAACACTGGGAGCAACAAAACCTGGGTAGGTGTGGCTGCGGGCATCATGTGAAAGATAAGAAAGAGAAATGAGGAAATGATGGAGGGAGATGATGAGAGAAGAAAAAGAGAAATAAATGAGAGAATGGGAGAGAAAGAAAAGAGGGAGGCGAAAAAGAAAAACAAATGGGAGGGAGGGAAATGAGAGAGAGAAAAGTGGAGGAAGGAAAATGAGAAAATGATGGAGGGAGAGGATGAGAGAAGAAAAGAGAGAAACAAGAGAATGGGGAGAGAGAAAAGAAAAGAGGAAAGAGAAAAACAGAAATGGGAAGGAGGAAGAGAGAAATAAGACAGAGAAAAAGGGAGGGACAATTGCAAACATGATGAAATGTTGGGGCAACTGGTAGTCTAAGGCACGCTATGCTACTTGATCAAACCGGGTTGATGATAATGTCAGCAGAGTCTGTCAAGGTGATAAAATATGCCCTAATTGGCTGTCAGCCGTAAACTATGAATTATGTCTTTTTTATCATAGAATGTTTTGTTTCCACCTAGGGAAATGCCAATCAAGGGAAATGCTCTCCTTCAATCTGCAAATCCTAAAAGCACGAATGTCTATGGAGATTCTCAGTCATCCATGGTCACGTTTGTCCCAAAGGTGCTTTTTCAAGAGGCAACTGAACTTTCTGGTTGTTGAAGAAACCTCTTGGATAAGAAGTGAAACGTCTTCAAAGAAAAAGCAGAAAGTCCAATTAATACTTGAAAAAAGTACCTTTGGGACAAACGTGACCATGGATGATTGAGAATCTCCATAGACGTTTGTGCTTTTAGGATTTGCAGATTGAAGGACAGCTTGCAAATTCTATCGAGTCTATTCACAGGGATTCTTCCTTCTGCATTACTATTACTATTAATCTTCTCACCAGTCCTTATTACCCATCCCCTCCCACTTGTGACTGTATGACTGTAACTTTGTCGCTTGTATCCTTACGATTGACTGTTTCCTAGTATGATTTGATTGCTTATTATTGTACCCTATGATTATTATTATGTGTTGTACCTTACGATTCTTGATGAATGTCTCTTTTCTTTTATGTACACTGAGAGCATTTGCACCAAGACAAATTCCTTGTGTGTCCAATCACACTTGGCCAATAAAGAATTCTATTCTATTCTTTAGGGACCTGTGTCCTTTGAGGAGGTGGCCATCCATTTCAACAGTGAAGAGTGGTTGCTGCTTGATCCCAGCCGGAATGCCCTGTATCAAGAAGTCCTGTTGGAAACATCTAGGATCGTGGCCTCTTTAGGTAAGGGTTCCTCTATATGTAATTTGTTAAAAATGATTTCAACTCTTCTTTTTTCCTCTTACATTAATTCCACTCCTCCTTCATGGTTTTCTAAGTAGCAAAGTTTCATTTAGCAGAAAGAGATCAGTGTGGTGACTAAGAAGGGTTGACATTCAGTCTTGTGATCATCCTGGGGCCCTGGGTCATTACTACAGAGGTATTGGAAAGATGTTCAGGGAGAGGATGTTTTTGCCTGTTGCAGTTTTCCTACTTGGCAACAAATTTTGTCTTGCTTTGGGTTGCAATGACATATATTGTCTTATTGAGTGCAAGTAGGGTGGACATAGTTGAGACAATTTGTATGCCTCGTCCTGATGTCAAGACGTGTTTTTGCTTTAAATTTCTAACTGCCAAGAATAAGGGTTAGATCAGCAGCTATGCTAGTTTTTTAAGTGAATAACTAATATTCATGCTGTAATTTCCCTTGTTTCTTTCTCCGCAGATGTCCAGTAGTACATAAATCTATGCATAGGCACACCAAAGTGGACGTTTATTCTAATATTTAAAATTATTCTAATTTATTTTTCTTCTCCCCACAAGCATTTGATGTGCAGAAGAAGGAAAATGCCCAAGAGCCAGATTTATTGCCATTGCAAATAATCAAAGCTGAAATTCCTGGGGAGACATCTACAAATAAGTGGGGAAGAAGGAAACCTGAAAAGAAGCACAATTGGAAAGAAAAATCTATTCTTGAATGTGTGGAAATGGATCGTTTTCTGACCCAACGTGATTCCAAAGCAAATACGGGGAAATGTCAAAGTAGAAAAAGATTAAAAGCAAACCCCGTTGTTAGTAACCACTGCAACACTGGAAAAAGCTCCAGCAGTAATAATCTTACGTCACATAAAATGAAACAAGCAAGGAAGAAGCCCTACAACAGTGTGGAGTGTGGAAAAAGCGTTGGGAGAAGAGGTAATTTAACTTCTAATAAAAAGATCCATAAATGTGTGGATTGTGGACAAAGGTTCAGCAGGAAGAATTCCCTTACTTCCCATAAAAGGATACATACTGGAGAAAAACTGTATAAATGCATAGAATGTGGGACGAGCTTCAGAATTAGTAGTGACTTAATGTGCCATAAAAGGATCCATTCAGGGGAAAAACCTTATAAATGTGGGGATTGTGGGAAAAGGTTCAGCAGGAAGTATTCCCTTACTTCCCATAAAAGGATACATACTGATGAAAAACCCTTTAAATGCATAGAATGTGGGAAGAGCTTCAAAAGTAGTAATTATCTGATGTGCCATAGAAGGATCCATTCAAGGGAAAAACCTTATAAATGTGTGGATTGTGGGAAAAGGTTCAGTATGAAGTGTACCCTTACATCCCATCAAAGGATACATACTGGAGAAAAACCCTATAAATGCATGGAGTGTGGAAAGAGCTTCAGGGGAAGCAGTGCACTTAATTGTCATAAACGGATCCACACAGGAGAAAAACCTTATAAATGCCTAGACTGTGGGAAGGGCTTCGGCCAAAGCAGTAGCCTGGCTTCCCATAAACGGATCCACACAGGAGAGAAACCCTTTAAATGCATGGAGTGTGGAAAAAGCTTCAGTGTAAAGAGTTCTCTCACTTCTCATAAACGGGTCCACACAGGAGAAAAACCCTATAAATGCCTACAGTGTTGGAAGAGTTTCAGCAGCAGTAGTTATCTGATATTGCACAAAAGGATCCATACAGGGAGAAAACCTTATAAATGTGGGGATTGTGGACAAAGGTTCAGTGTGAAGTATTCTCTTACTTCCCATAAAAGGACCCACACAGGAGAAAAACCCCATAAATGCCTAGAATGTGGGAAGGGCTTCTCAACTAGTAATTATCTGATGTGCCATAGAAGGATCCATTCGGGAGAAAAACCTTATAAATGTATGGATTGCGGGGAAAGGTTCAGAACGACGTGTTCCCTTACGTCCCATCAAAGGATACATACAGGAGAAAAACCCTTTAAATGCATGGAGTGTGGAAAGAGCTTCAGGGGAAGCGGTGCTCTTAATTGTCATACACGGATCCACACTGGAGAAAAACCCTATAAGTGCCTAGACTGTGGGAGGGGCTTTACGCAAAGCGGTGAGCTTGTTTCCCATAAACGGATCCACACAGGAGAAAAACCCTATGAATGCATGGAGTGTGGAAAGAGCTTCAGTGTAAAGAGTTCTCTCACTTCTCATAAACGGATCCACACAGGAGAAAAACCCTATAAATGCCTAGAGTGTGGGAAGGGCTTCAGACAAAGCTGTGACCTTGGTTCCCATAAACGGGTCCACACAGGCGAAAAACCCTATAAATGCATGGAGTGTGGAAACAGCTATAAAAGCAGCAGTTACCTGATCCTCCATAAACGGGTCCACACGGGAGAGAAACCCTATACATGCCTGGAGTGTGGAAAGCGCTTCACTATCAAGGGCTCTCTTACTTCTCACGAAAGGATCCATACAGGAGAGAAACCCTATAAATGTCTACAGTGTGGGAAAAGCTTCAGCCGAAGCAGTCAACTTAGTTTCCATAACAGGATCCATACAGGGGAAAAACCTTATAAGTGCACAGAGTGTGGAAAGACCTTCGCTGCCAGTAGGTCTTTAACTTCCCATAAAAGGACCCACACAGGAGAGAAACCCTATAAATGCCTGCAGTGTGGGGACAGCTTCAGATTTAAAAGTAACCTTGCTTCCCATAAGAGGATCCACATCGGTGGGAAATAGAAATGTACGGAATGCGGATGTTTTTGTGGTTTGGTGTTTTCTTTCTGCAGAATCAACATCTGAAGTGAATCTGGGATCAGCCTCCAGGCTTTGTGAAGAGCTGGTGTATGCAAGCAAAGCAAGGGAAAATGTATGTATATATATTTTGTGAATAAAATGTATATATTCATTTTAGCCCTAATTGTGTTGAGAATACTGGCCTTTAAACATATAGCACAGTTTAAGCTTTTTTTCCCTCTCATCCCTCTCAAACTTGTGCACAAGTTTGGTTGCAAGTAAAAATCTCCCAAATATTTATATCTACAGGCAAAGGCATAGAATCAAAATCTCGTGAAGTATCAGTACCACTTTATAAAGCTTTAGTAAGTCCACACCTGGAATACTGCAACTAATTTTGGTCACCACACTACAGAAAAGGTGTTGAAACTTTGGAAAAAATTATAAGAACTAACGTGATCAAAGGCCTGGGGACTAAAACATGAAGAACAGTTGCAGTATTTGGGTATGACTAGTCAACCAGGATTTCAACCTAGAAATGAGAAATTTTCTGACAGTGAGAACAATTAACCAATGGAACAGCTTGCCTTTAGAAGTTGTGGGAGCTTCATCACTGGCAGCTTTCAAGAAGAGACCGGACTGCCACCTCTCAGAAATGGTGTAGGATCTCCTGCTTGTGTAGTGGGTTGGATTAGATGACATACATGGTCCCTTCTAATTTTGTTTATCTAGTCTAGTGAAATGAAAGACTGGGGTGACATGATATGGCAGTATTCCAATATTTGGGGAGCAAAGGGGAAGGGGTTACTATCCAAAGCAAGACAAGAAAAAAAATTGATGGAAACTGATCAAGGAATTACAGAGAAACTTCCTAACAGTGAGGACAATTAACCAGTTTAACAACTCGTCTTCAAAAATTGTACTTCATTAGTGGAGGTTTTTAAGAAGAGACTGAAGAATCACTTGTCTGAAATGGTATAGTGTTGGTGAACCTTTTCGGCACCAAGTACCGAAACCAGAATGCATGCGCATCTGCCAGAAACCGGAATAGCAGCTGGCGACGGCATGCATGCCCAGAGAGGGCTCTGCGTGCCACCTCTGACACATGTGCCATATTTTGCCATCACTGGAAAAGAATGTCCTGCTTGAGCAGGGGCCTACTCTAGTCCAAAAGACCTCAAAGGTCCCTTCCAGCTCCATTCCATTCAGTTCTATTCTCCCAACTGAAAGGGACTTTAAAAATTGTTTTATTGATCCAAGAGTGTATCATATGAGAAATGTTTTTTTTTTTTAAAAAAAAGCATTTAAATTTCTTCATTCATTCATTATTCAGTTTCTCGGATTAAAGTATTTTCTATTTCTCAAGTTTTTCATAATGTTACTAGTACCTCTATTTCATTTTGTGATCTCAAGTTGATTAGAAAGATCAATCAGACTTCACCTATGTTAGAGTCTGTAGAGTTGGTTTGATTTTGGAGAAAACTTAGTAACATGATTGTGACTTTGTGCTTTTTATCTTAATACTAGTTTTTTTTTAAAAAAAAAAGTTATTTCCTGATTATTAACCACCTTTCTCAATTTGAATGGTTAATAAATTATTGGAAACAGTTCCTGCGAAATGTAAATGATGCCTTTCATTATATACATTGAACCAAAAAGCTAAATGAAGAAATGAATACGTTGGAGATCCAGTGTGGGGATCTGGGGATCTTCCAAGTCATTTGACTCAGTGACGGGGTGACTTGAAAGGGTCCCCTGGGGGATTCGCACCAGATTGTTGTGGAGGGGTTCCTGAGGGGGACACGGGGGGGGGCCTGAAGGAGAAGAGGGGGCCAAAAGGAGGCCCAATTCAGTGACTGACCCAGAGAAAGGAGGAGTCCTGTCCTTGACGACCCCTAAGACCCCCCTCCCTCCTATGGTGGCGCTTCCCTCAGAGCGTCCTCTGTCTCCGCTTTTCCCGCCAGAATAGGCTCCTCCCACTCCTCTCGGAACCCCTTTTCCCGCTTCTCCGTCTGAGGGAATCGCACTGGGAGGGGCGCGGCCAAGAGGAAAGGGGAGGATTCTCGCAAGCTCCCGCCTAGCTCACGTCTCACCTCTAGGGGTCCCGGTCACCTCCCCACCCCAGCAACATCAATGGTCCCTCCCACACCCCCATCCTTACCCTGGGTCTTCCTTCCTCCCTTCGTTTCCACGGCTCCCGGCCATCGTCTCCACTAGCAACGGCAACAGGCGGAGACCATGGAGGCTTCCCCCCAAGACCCCTCCCCAAGAGAGGGGAGAAGTGGAATTGGGGGGAGGCGGGGCTTGACAGGGATACTTCACAGTTGGCTCCCAAGGAATAGGTTGCCCCAATGGGAAGCCTCCATTCGTATGAGTCATCTGTCTCCGGGCAGAATCTCTCGTGAGTTCTCCCTCCGGAGAAAGCGATTGCGTACAGCGCAACTGGGGGGAACCTTTCCGTGTTCAACCTGGGGGTCCCAAAGAGGACACAGGTGAGCCCCCACTGAAGCAATGTCTGGGGGAGGCAACGATTGCTGATACGTGGAAAGCCCAGGCTACTAGCCGATGAGGCCCCAAATCGAGAGGTCTCCTCCAGCCCTTGGTTTTCCCACGACCCCCGTGACACGTGTCTCTAGCCTTCCAGTGCAGCATCCACTCTTGCTTTCCAAGGGATTATCTGTATGACCTTGTGCTTCACGGGGAGCCCGTTTCCCTGAACTCCTGGGAAGTTGGACGCCTGAGAAACCTCAGGTGATGAGGATGTTTTAAAGGTTTGTCTCTGTCTTCTAGGGGAGTGGCTCCCCTCCCCACTTTGCTCACGATCCTTAATTGCACAATTGTTAGGAATTCCATAGTTTGCTGCTTTCCTGTGAAAATCGACCCAAAGCCACGTAGGATTCTGTCGGGGGGGGGGGGGGGCTTTGGGTTTGCTCCCCTTGCTGGGGGGGGGGGGGGGGGGGGGGGGGGGGCAGCCAGAAAGGAGATTTGCTCAGAGTTTCTTGGGTCCCGTGGACCTTCGTTGGGTCTCCGGGGAAGAGAAGGGACCCCCTGTCGCTTCAGCTCTCAGAAGGGAAAGTCACTTTCCTTTCCTGGGAACGCTTTCACTTTCCCCGGGTCTGTTTTAAGCTTTGATGGTGTGAGTCTTTCTCTCCCCTCCCTCCTTCTTCCGCTCTGAGTGTGTGTGAGAAAGAGAGAGAGAGAGAGAGACAGACAGACAACAAATACCCAGAGTTGGAAGGGACCTTATAGGTCATCTAGTCCAACCCCCTCCCCTCACCTAGGCTGGAGACCCTACACCATTTCTTATTTATTTTATTTATTTATTTATTTGATTTGTCAATTGTTTACAAGATAATAAGTACAAGTGTATACATAGTTGTGAATATATGAAATGGGTACATATAAGAAAAATAAAAGAATAAGAGAAACAATAGGACAGGGACGGTAGGCACGTTGGTGCGCTTATGCACGCCCCCTACAGACCTCTTAGGAAAGGGGTGAGGTCAATAGTAGACAGTCTAAGGTTAAAGTTTTTGGGGTTTGGGGAAGAGACTATAGAGTCGGGTAGAGTATTCCAGACATTGACCACTCTATTGCTGAAGTCGTATTTCCTGCAATCAAGTTTGGTGCGGTTTACTTTGAGTTTGTATCTGTTGTGTGCTCTTGTGTTGTTATGGTTAAAGCTGAAGTATTCATTGACAGGATTCATTGCCATTTCTGACAAATGGCAGTCCAATCTCTCCTTGAAAGTCTCAAGGGATGGCGCTCCCACAACTTCCGAGGGCAACTTCTGTTCCATGGGCTGACTGTTCTCACTGTCAGAAAGTTTCTCCTTATTTCCAGGTTAAATCTCTCCTTGTTCAGCTTCCATCCATTTAGAGAGAGACACAGACAGACAGACAGACAGACACCATACAAACTGGGAGGCCCATAATCCGCGCCTGGATTCTCCTGGTGATCGCTTGCAGAACTCGCTCTCCAGAGCAGACGCAGCTCCGGGCGAGAATGCTGCCCAGCATTGCCTCCGAAGCCGCTCCCACGGCCGAGATTTCACCCCAGGGGCCCACCAGGGGGCGCACTCTCCGCTACCTGCCTAGCCCACTGCGCATGCTCCACTCCGACTGCCTTTTCGGGTGAGCCCGGCTGCGAGTTGCTCCCTGGGAATCTGGTGGTGGGTGGGGCAAGAGGCGGGGGAGGGTCCCGCCACTTCAAATCCTTCCCAGGATTTCAGAAGGAGATTCTGAACCTTGGAGGGTCCGAGAAATCCGCCGTATAGTTACTCTTGACTGTGCATGGGGGAGATCCAAGAATGGGGCAGGGGAGAGGAGAGAAGTAAGCTTAAAGGAACCACCTGCTCACATCTCTTTCAGATTCCGGTTCCGGGGCTGCGAGGATCTTTGGGGAGGCAGCAGAGCCAGCGGTGCCAGTAGCTGGAAGATCCCTTCTGAATCTGGCAGGAGAGAAGCAGGAAGGGCCCCAGGTCAGAGAAGCGTCTTTTGGGGAATACGGAGGGATCTTCACATGCTTGAATTCTTCCATTTCTCCCTGATGGAATTTTGCAGATAAATAACGCGAGTAGATATTTAGGGAACCTCATTAGCAAAATTGTTCTTGCTTCCCTCCAAAGAGTTTCTCACTTGGAAGCTATTCTCCCGTTGGTCTCGGCCATCAGTCACTGATGGAGACAAGGGTTTTGTGCGCAGAAAATAACATCCAGGTCCTCTTTTGTCCTGCCTGTTAGGAATATGAGTCACCTAACAGCTATTTGGGTTAGAAATATATAAACCAGGATAAACATTTTAAAACTGTATCTTTAAGAAAATGCAAAAGTGTAATTAGGTGTGGTTTTGTCAAACGGCCATAAGATGGAACCAGAAACCTGGTTTGTCTTAGTCTTAGTCTCAGACGAGAGTGTGTCTGAGTGAGTATCTCTGTTTGCTTCTGTTGGAAAGTATTGCCCTTCCTCCATTTTTCCTAATTGACTGATATTACTGGATTTGATGTAAGTCTGATACTGAACTGTTTTTGACACTGGGATTTGATATTTCGATTATCCCTGGATTGAAAAACTGATTTAGCTGTGAATGACTTTTGGACTGCTTATTTTGGACTTTGCTTAACGTTTCTGGAAGTAAAAACCTACATTTACTGTACAGTATATCTGTGTGTTGTATGTGTATTATTCAAACACTACTCTCAAATACGTCTCCCTGTATGCGCTCATTCTCCTAACGGGAAATTACTCAACACTGTCCTCTTAACTACTCTTCTTTGCTTATATTTCAGGGTCTGAGGTCCCTTCATGGATGGAGGGTAATTGGGTGGATTGCACAAATCTTTCTCCTGATCTGTTTTTCAGAGGGATCTCCAAGGATAAAAATCAAGATCAGGATACTTCACTAGGTAAGGGGAGACTGTTCCATTGGGTTGGAGGTTTTTTGGAAAGATTCTAGCTATCCTTAATTCTCTGTGTCTTCTCTTGTCTTAGTCGTTGGATTTAGTAGAAGGTGACCCAATAAGAAAGATATGACTCCCTCTTCAAATTAGAAGACTTAAGATGCACAAAGGAATTCCCTCCCTTCAGAGCAAGCTTATTGTTTGCCTTTCACAGAAAACCTACTCTAGGAGGGAATACCTTGATGCATTCTGCCTCTTCCTCCAACCTGAAAGATTTTTCTTTATTTCTGGCCTACCTTAAGAGATAGTTTTGACTAAATTCCCACACAGATCCCTGCTGGGCCATTTCCAACACCACCTGTCCTTGCAGGCATGTTTCCTGGATTGCTAGAATATCACTAATTTCTCTGGTTTCAAACTGCAGAGAGTGGGGGTGGGAGAATATACAACGATTGAGGAAATGCTGTGGTTGCCAAGAGTATATACTTCCATGTGTTGTTAGGTTAGGAGAACGATCTAACTGAGGTTTGTTCTTCAGCGTGTGCTGGGTTTGGCCTTCCCCTTTTATTCTTGGCTCCCATGATGGAGCCTATGAAAGGCAATGTGTAGAAGAGGCAAAAATGGAGGTTTCCTGGACAGGACAGGAAGAAATCTTAATTTGTGCCTTCAAGCTAGAAAAGATGAAGTTAAACCCTGTCCTGTTTCCACCCCGTCTCTCTCCTTCCCAGCGGACAAAATGGAGTCAGCATTGTTTACTGAATCATCTCCTCCTATTGGTGAAGCTGAAAGAGCTGCACGATTCCCGACCCAGGTAGGAAGGAAGATATTTGCACCTTATATCGGGGGAACAGTAGGAAGCCATTTCAAGCTAGAGACAAAATTAAATATAATCTCTTATTTGGATAAAAGAATCATTTTCATTTCAACTTCTTGCTGTGAGGAATAATATTCATTCATAGGAGTTTCCTCATGTTTCCAGTATTGTGCAAATACAATTCTTGCTAATTCAAGACATTTAATATTAAATATAGGTTCCCTTTGTCATACTTTTCAGGTATTATTCCTAGCAAAAATATTTCTGGCTTAAAATCATGTGTTGGTTTAAGTCCAAACATGTATGTAGTTTTGTCCAATATTTCTTTACTTTTACACATGTCCACTACATATGATTATACATCCCCTGTGTATGGTAACATTTCCAACATCGGGCGGACATGCTTTTAATCTTCTTTGCTAATCTTGCTGGTGGTAGATACCACCTATAAAACATTTTGTATAATTTTTCCTTATATGTAGATGCCACTGTCAATTTACAACTTCTTTCCCAAAGCTTTTGCCATTTGTCTAAATCTATAGTATTGCCAAAGTTTTTTGCCCATTGTTTTCTGCAGGGCTGACCCTTTTAAAAAAAACTAATCCCATTTGGTTACTATGTCAGACAGAAATCCCACAGAATCTCTTGCAAACATCATGAAATGTCGGGGCCACTGGTAGATGGTGTGTCTAAGGGACGCTAGGCCACTTGATCAAAGCAGGTTGATGATATTGAAGGTCAGCAGAGTCAGTCAAGATGATAAAACATGCCCTAATTGGCTGTCAGCAGTAGGCTGTGAATTCTGCCCTTTTGATCATATAATGTGTTGAGTCCCTCTAAGGAAATGTCCAATCAAGGATTTTTACTTTGGCTTTTAGTCTCAAAGGTGCTTTTTTTTTTCAAGAGGCAACTGGACTTTCTGGTTGTTGAAGAAACTTTTTGGATGAGAAGCGAAACTCATCTTCAAAGAAAAAGCAGAAAGTCCAGTTAAAAGCACCTTTAGGACAACAGTGACAATGGATGACTGTGAATCTGCATAGACATTTCTGCTTTTAGGATTTTCATATTGAAGGAGATCTTGCAAATTCTGTCGAGTCTTCTCACAGGGATTCTTCCTTCTTTAGGGTCCTGTGTCCTTTGGGGAGGTAGCCATCCATTTCAGCAGTGAAGAGTGGTTGCTGCTTGATCCCAGCCAGAAAGCCCTGTATCAAGAAGTCATGTTGGAAATGTCTAGGATGGTGGCCTCTTTAGGTAAGGGTTCCTCTGTGCATAACTTGTTAAAAATGATTTCATCTCTTCTTTTTTCCTCTTACATTAATTCCACTCCCCTTTCATGGTTTTCTAAGTAGCACAGTTTCATTTCTAAGAAAGAGATCAGTGTGGTGACTAAGAAGGGTTGACATTCAGTCTTGTGGTCATCCTGGGGCCCTGGGTCATTACTGCAGAGTTATTGGGAAGATGATCAGGGAGAGGATGTTTTTGCCTGTTGCAATTTTCCTACTCAGCAACAAATTTTGTCTTGCTTTGGGTTGCTGTGACATATGTTGTCTTATTGAATGCAAGTTGGGTGGGTCATAGTTGAGACAACTTGTATGCCACATCCTGATGTCAAGACTTGTTTTGGCTTTAAATTTTTAACTGCCAAGAATAAGGGTTAGATGAGCAGTCATGATAGTTTTTTAAGTTAATAACTAATATCCATGCTGTCATTTCCCTTTTTGCTTTCTCCGCCTATGTCCAGTAGTAGATAAATCTAAGCATAGGCACACCAAAGTGGAGGATGTAGATTATTCTAATTTATTTTTCTTCCCCCCACAAGCATTTGATGTGCAGAAGAACGAAATTGTCCAAGAGCCAAATTTAGTGCCATTGCAAATAATCAAAACTGAAATTCCTGGGGAGACATCTACGAAGAAGTGGGGAAGGAGGAAACCTGAAAAGAAGCACAATCGGAGAGAAAAATCTATTCTTGAATGTGTGGAAATGGATCGTTTCCTGACCCAACGTAATTCCAAAGAAAATACGGGGAAATGTCAAAGTAGAAAAAGATTAAAAGCAAACCCCGTTGTTAGTAACCACGGCAACACTGGAAAAAGCTCCAGCAGTAATAATCTTACATCACATAAAATGAAACAGGTAAGGGAGAAGCCCTACAACAATGTGGAGTGTGGAAAAAGTGTTGGGAGAAGAGGTAATTTAACTTCTAATAAAAAGATCCATAAATGTGTGGATTGTGGACAAAGGTTCAGCAGGAAGAATTCCCTTACTTCCCATAAAAGGATACATACTGGAGAAAAACCCTACAAATGCATAAAATGTGGGAAGAGCTTCAAAAGTAGTCGTGTCTTGATGTGCCATAGAAGGATCCATTCAAGGGAAAACCCTTATAAATGTGTGGATTGTGGAAAGAGCTTCAGTGTAAAGAGTGCTCTTACTTCTCATAAACGGATCCACACAGGAGAAAAACCGTATAAATGTATGGAGTGTGGAAAGAGCTTCAGGGGAAGCAGTGCGCTTATTTGTCATAAACGGATCCACACAGGAGAAAAACCCTATAAATGCATGGAGTGTGGAAAGAGCTTCACTGTAAGTTGTGCTCTTACTTGTCATAAAAGGATCCACACAGGAGAAAAACCCTATAAATGCCTGGAGTGTGGAAAGAGCTACAAAAACAGCAGTTACCTGATCCTCCATAAAAGGTTACACTCGGGAGAGAAACCCTATAGATGCCTGGAGTGTGGAAAGAGCTTCACTAACAAGACTTCTCTTAATTCTCATGAAAGGATCCATAGAGGAGAGAAACCCTATAAATGCATAGAATGTGGGAAGAACTTCAGGCAGAGTGGTGACCTTATTATTCATAATCGGGTCCACACAGGAGAAAAACCCTTTAAATGCATAGAATGTGGGAAGAACTTTAGGCAACGCATTCAACTTACTTTCCATAGACGGGTCCACACAGGAGAAAAACCCTATAAATGCCTAGAGTGTGGAAAGAGCTTCAGCCAAAGTGGTGCCCTTGTTTGCCATAAACGGGTCCACACAGGAGAAAAACCCTATAAATGCATGGAGTGTGGAAAGAGCTACAAAAACAGCAATTACCTGATCCTCCATAAACGGCTCCACACGGGAGAGAAACCCTATACATGCCTGGAGTGTGGAAAGAACTTCACTAACAAGACTTCTCTTACTTGTCATGAAAGGATCCACACAGGAGAGAAACCTCATAAATGTATAGAGTGTGGGAAGAGTTTCAGCGAAAGGAGACGACTTATTTCTCATAACAGTATCCATACAGGAGAAAAGCCTTATAAGTGCACAGAGTGTGGAAAGACCTTTGCTGCCAGTAGGTCTCTGACTAAGCATAAAAGGACCCATGCAGGAGAGAGTGCTCAGGGTTCCGACAGATGCCCTAATTAACAGATGTTCCATAATTGCTGGAATGTGGGAAGAGCTTCAGATTTCAAAGTCACCTTACTTCCCATAAGAGGATCCACAGCGGAGGGAAAGAGAAATGTATGGAATGCAGAAGGAGCTTTTGTGAAAACAGAATGCTTCTTAAAAAAGAATCCACTGTGTGCAGAAAAATATCCTATGGACCGGTGGTTGCCAACCAGTGGGCCGGGGACCACTGGTGGTCCATGAGAAAATTTTGGTGGTCTGCAGAGAAATGTCCCCCCCCCCTACAAGCACTCCCCCCAAAGCAATTAATGCAGGCTGTGTGGGAACACAAGGCCGAGAGCAAACCTTACCTTGAGTAGAGCCAAGTAGCTTGCTGATGTATTTTTTTTAAAAAAACAAAATTTTATTTTTAGACAAACATACGCAAACACACAACATAAAAACATCAAGCCATCTTCCAATTATGTACATACAGTGTGTCGGTTGGTTACAAATTGTTTTGTGTATGCTCTCCATAGTCCTCACAATTACTTGTATATATTCTCATTATCAGTCAAATATTTCTAAATACATTATCATTGTTAATCATTAGATTATACTATTATTCATTCATGTTATGTGAGATGTTCCATATTTTTAAATTGATTTATAACAATTCATATTATCCTAAATCCATCCCATTATTATAATAATACATCTTTATAGATTCTATATAGTTCTATTCTCCTTATATTGTAAAATTCTACATATTTCATTACCATATTTTATTTTCTAACCATTGATAAATCCCAAATCTTATAGAATTGTTTATCTTCTTCTTCTCTAATTTCAAATGTCAATTTACTCATTTCAGCACATTCCATTATTTTCTTAATTTCCTCCAGCGTTGATATTTTCTAATTTTTACAATTTTTAGCAAATACAGTCCTAGCCGCTGTTAATACATTTACAATCAAATACTTCAATTCCCTACTGTATATTTCAGGTAAAATTCCCAATAAAAATATCTCTGGTTTCAAGTACCGGTATGTGTTTTTTGTCATTTTTTTCCAAGTGTGGATTTTAGTCCAATATCTTTTAGCATCTGTGCACATCCACCACATAATAGTAATATGAGCCAGGTATCTGATGACATTTCCAACATTTTTCAGATTTGTTCTTGAACATTCTTGCTATTCTTGTTGGGGTAAGTGCCACCTGTAAAACATCTTATACAAGTTTTCTTTATATGCTATTGACGTTGCCATTTTATAATTTTGAGACCACAATTTTTGCCATTTCTCTAAGTCAATCCCATATCCAAAATTTTTCCCCCAAGCAATCATTGTTTCTTTAACTTGCTGTTCTTCTAGGTTAACCGCTAATAAGTATCCATATAGTTTTTTAATCACCTTTTCATCAGTACCTGTCAGAGAAAGAAAAAAACAGCTTTCTATCAAAAAAAAAAAAAAAGGAAATAAAAAACACACTGCACCTGTATAATATCCAAGACTTTTTGTTAAGTTCCAAACAATTTATAACTCTCTTCTTTAGGGTCTTGTAATCTTTCTGTAAATTCCAAACTTTCTTTCAACACCAGACACCAGCCACTGATAGAAATCCAGAAGAGCACCTATAATAACACTCTCCTATGCTCTTCCCTCTATCTTATCAAACCGGCTCAAAGTCCTTGAAGAAAAGCCCCAGTTCTTTCTCAGCTTTGTCTGGTCTTAGAAAGTGAAAGAAAAACAATGTTTCCAAGCCTCTGGGTGGCAGTGTTACAAATTTTCCTCTACTTACACTTCCCCCCTCCTTTTCCAAAACAAAAGTGTTAAAAGTATTTTAAATAGTAAAAGGTAAATTAAAAAAAGGAGAAAAAACTAAAAAGGAATCTCTAACATAAAGTATTATAAAGACAAAAGAGAAAAAGGAAAAAGAGAAAAAAATACAAACCCAGTCCTGTTTCAAAGTAAAAAAGCGTACATAAACAATCCAGCAATAAAAAACACTAATTTTGACTTCCTGTTTAAAATTGCCACTTAACCACTTCTGTCTTCAATTTTACAATTTCTTTCTTTTTCTTAGGGTGTTTGGCTTTCCACAATGGAAGCACTGATGTATCTAAATGTTGTAAAATTGGAAAAAAACAAAGACATTCTGAATGAGAAAGGGGAACTAAAAACAAAACAGGAACTAAAAACATGCCTGGCATGTTTGCCACACCTGCAAATACAATCGAGAGTAAAGCTTTCTATTAAGACTTAAAATGGAAGATGAACAAGTGAAAGAAACAATGATAGTATGGGCAAAAACTTTGGATATACCATAGAATTATATAGATGGCAAAAAGTTTGGGATAAAAATTATAAATTGACAATGGCAACTACCTAAAGGAAAACCTGTATAAAATGTTCTACAGGTGGCATTTGCCACTGGCAATGCTGGCAAAGATGTTTAAAACATGTCCGCCAAATGTTGGAAATGTAATCAGATACTGGGCTCTTTATTACCATATGTGGTGGACATGCCCAAAGGCCCCCCAAAAAATTGGACAAAAATAAACACATGGTTGGAGAAAATGTTAAAGCAACATATAGATTCAAAACCAGAAATATTTTTGTTAGAAAATACCAGAAATATATGACAAAGGGAACATATATTTAATACTACATGCCTTTACAGGAGTGAGAATTGTATTTGCACACTGGAAGAATGAGAAAACTCCTACAGATGAAAATATAATTATAAAAATACTAGATTGTGCAGAAATAGATAGGTTAACATTAAAGATAAAGGATAAAGAAGACACAATAGTTTTTAACATGGGATTTGTTTTACCAATGGTTAGACAATAGAGGTAGAAATTAGAAGTTGGAAGTTTATTACTAGGTATAAATGAATAATATTTTTATTATTATGTACAAGTAAATTGACCCAGACAATACACTGTTTACTAAGAACTTATGTATGTTAAAGAAAAATATATATTTAAAAAAAAACTTATTTCCCTTATTAATATGACCCACATCAGGGCTACATACAGCACGGGAGGGAGATCCAGGGCTACATACAGCACGGGAGGGATTGAAGTGCCCTTAATTTGTGTAAAAGGTTCCACTGTGATATGAAACCATCTAAATCAGGGGTGTCAAACTCAAAGCCTGTTGGGGCTGTCCTGCAAATGGTAAGGCGCTGGGTTGCGTCGCTTTGGTCCAGCCCATCACATCCCGGCAGGTGCACATATGTATAGGATGCAGTGAGCTGACACGCACACAGGCCTGGCCCATGCCATCCCAGCAGGTGTGCGTGTGCAGCAGAGGAGTTGGGTGGACACCAGGATGGGGTAGGCTATGTGCATATATGCACCTGCTGCTTCCTGTGCACACGCGTGCCTGACGGGATGGCGTAGGCAGGGTATATGCGCGTGTGCCCAGAGACGTCTTCCCTCAAAGACATTCGCCAGGATGGGATGGGCAGGGCCAAAACACACGGACTGGCCCCTTATTATTTCCATGGCGGCCGCACTTAACTGGCTTTTCAGGTGTGTGTTTGCACAGGGGGGAAGGTGTTTCGTAGAAAGATTCTGAAGCTGGTCCTCCAAGAAAAAGGCATGGCAGTATCAGCACCGGCAGCAGGCAGAATTGTGGGGAGAGGCAAATGATGCGCACCACTGAGTTTGCCTGTTCCATTCCATATGGCTGGGACAGTGGCTACCCAGCATATCCAGAAGGCTGGACCATGTGCCTCTCCCCTGTGCCTCTTCCTCCGGCTATTGCCATGTCCGCAGGCCAAGACAAGGTGAGGAGGGCATGGGGTAATAGGTCGCTTCTGGTCGTCAACTCTGCCCCCTCAATGGTCTTGAGGGAAGCATGTTCCTGTCTCGTATCCTGGCATCAGAGGCTGCCAGCAGCTCACAGAGGTCACTTATTATTAGGCCACTGTTGTCACTTCCTGGAGCACCAGGCCGGCACAGTCAAAAGGAGGCAAGTGGCCAGCTAGAAAGGCTGAGTAGAGGTGGCATAGCATGCTCATTCCCAGCAGACAAAAGGCAGCCACCAGAAGCGGTGAAAGCTGGATCCCCATCAGCACCATGGCTGCCCAAGCATAGCCGGGATCGCATGCCTGTGGCCCCATCTCTGCTGGGTCTGGTTGCCAATGGGGATCTGCCTTTCCCCACTCACGGTGGCTGTTTTTTGCCTGCTGGGCCTTGGTGTGATATACCACCTCTACTCGGCCTTTCTAGCTGGCTCCTTTGGGCTGGGTGGGTCTGCCGAGTGGCGGTGGAGTTGCCTCCTTCACTGGGACTGCTTGGTGGGGAGAGATGAGCCGTACCCTGCCCTGTGAGGCAGCAGTTGCAGAGCACTTTCGGGGCGTTGGCCGACTGACACAGCTCCTTCAGATGGAGCCCCCCCAAGGCTGTGGTTCCTTCCCTGGACTGAAGTCAGCCTTCTGTCTTGCAGCCCCACTGCTGCATCTCTGTTCCAAGCTGAGAGTTGCAGACAAATTCCCCACTCGGCTGGCGTTCCCGGAAGGCGCAGCTCAGCTGTGGTGCCAGGGAAACGGCATGACGCTTCAGGGGTAGTGGAACTTCCCTCCATGTGAGTGGCCGAGTCAACAGGGCGCTGCCAAAACCGGTGCCCAGTTCATCCAGCCTTGGGACAGGCACTGCTTCCTACCCCACCACCCGCTATGATTTGGGAAGCCCAGCTGGGCACCGCATGTTGGGTCTGGTTGTGGACGTGGAAACGCCACTTCCTCC